CATATCAGTGCATATTCTTGTTATCAGACATCTTCACAGTTCTGCAGACTTACATGTGCAACGAGGTTCATAAGTTATCCTGAATAGCTTCAAGTTTCAATGTGAGTGTCAAAAGATGGTTCATTTCCATATTTTTCTCATTTTCTGCTACCTGGGCCTTTTGGGTTTTGTTGTAGAAGTTTAGAAGAGAAGAATGAAGGTCGAAGAGCGTTCGTGCAGTTGAATACAGTTTAAGATGTAGGATTAATGCTAGCTATCGTTCCTGCCAGAACCGGCTGCATCGTAAGTGTCACATTGTCCTCCTTCTGACAATAACATTAAGGATGCCGTACCACGAATCGGAGCACCTGGCATTTATAAAACTCTCAGGCATGATGATGGTGTTCTTTCGCGCTCTTTAATTTGGCTTCACACGGTTGAGATGCTTTACCTTGTTCTGTGTGCGCTTCTAACGGTGCCAGAGGACCCCTGCGCTCGCTATTTAACAAAGTTTCTATGGCAACGTGGCCATTACTCCAAGTTGTTGAGGATGCTCATCTGGAGGGGGCTGGTCACAAGTGCCTACACATATCATCCAAACACCAGGATACAGACATACTTTAGAGATGAGTTGATTCCAATTTCTCATCCCGACGGATAATTTATGCTCATGGCCGCATGCCACGGGAAGCTGATTGGGAGACCCGATGATGATTCACTATATGAGCGTATTGGTATTCATAGAGGTTTTGAACATAGATTGAGTCCCACATGCATGTGCAGCTTTTCAAAAACTCACCAAGGGAGTTTCAAAACATTTGCGTAAATTAAGGCATAAATTACCGCAGGGGTTCACAAACACATTTTTTAGGTTTTTAAAAGGATAGTTCACCCAAAAGTGAAAATAACACAAAAGAAGTTAAGATTGTTGGTAATCAAAAAGTTGACTGTAGCCTTTGACTTCTTCCATATAGGGGAAAAAAATAATAATATAGAAATCAATGGCTACCATCAACATTCTTCAAAATATCATCTTTTATGTTAGCCTGGGAAAACCCAGACAACTTCCGGCAAATTTAGATTTGCTCTGAAAGTTAGTCTGGCGAAGAGCTCATTCAAGCCCATTTCCACTGGGATTTTGAAGCAGATTTTTTAGCCTACATTACAAAGATAGGTGCTGCCGTCGAACATCACTTGTTCGAATCAGCTATTGCGTCTGTTTTAAGCGATTTCAACGTTTACTTTTTGTTAAACCGAGCATAGAACAACACTCAGAGATGTTTCTCCGCCGGCCGCCGCTCTGCATACGTCATCTCCTTCATCGCTCTGATTGGTTTTAGGTCTATCCGCGATGTCCGTTGGTGACACCCCTCTGGAAATGATTCGTCTATGACACTCTGCCAGACCATAACTCAGTTACAACTGAGACTTTTGTGTTAAAAAATGTCACCAAACTTCTGCGGACAAAATTTGTCAGTTCTCAGTCAGAGAAGCAATGAATGAAGCACTGCTCACACAGAAGTCACTTTCAAATCAAGCTTTGTTGGTCAACTTGAACCTGTTATGAAATGTGTGTAGGGAAATCTTTTACCCTCATGTGAAATTGCCAATCACATGTATTCCTATTGAAATTTTGACTCTGAAAAATGTGCCGAACAGCGCTCTTAAAAATAGGGTTGGGTATCGTTTGAATTTGAACGATTCTGATTCCGATTCCGATTCCTTGTTTCGATTCCGGTTCCTAACGATTCTCGATTCCGATTCTTTTAAGAGGCAGGGTCAAAAAAGTTTAGCTAACCTCGCTAACCAACGGTCTTTCTGAAGGAAATAATCCTTTCTGAAGGAAATACTCCTGTCACAAATACTCCTTTTGTCACAAATTGTGCATTTTGCCGAGATTTCGTTATTTTTAGAAAAGTGAAGCCACACTTTGGACCGCCGACGTAAGCTACTCATGTTCGACTCGCGCGGTTATGCCAACTCTTCCGGTAGACGCTTCTTCGTTGGTGTTGTTCAGCAGTTTCTTCTTCCGCTCGGAGGACTGTGAATATCGAAACTAGGAATCGAAATTTTAACTTTTGAACGATTCCGGGAAAAACGAAAAGTTAGTCCCGGTTCCAATCAATACTCGATTCTCGATACCCAACCCTACTTAAAAATAAAGCTTTTTTATTGGCATCTATGGTTCCACGAATGTTACCATTCATAGAACACATATGGTAACATTCATAGAACCTTTACATTTCACTAAAGGTTATTTTAGTGGAAAAAAGCATATTTAGATTTTATTTATAAACTTTTATATTTAAGAGGGAGTGGAAACTATGACCACCACACTATTCTAATATTTAGTCACGTATAATCTCTGCTGTTGTCATGTTCAAATTGGAATCTGATTTGTGAACAAAAGTCTTTTGTTCATGAATCAGAGTGAATCAGTGGTTTTCAAGGGAACGATTCTCGAAGTTCAAACCAAGAACCATCTCTTTTAAACAGGCTCAATTTGTAATGATTCAAGTGAACAACTCACTAACTCAGTGTTGTACTTGGTGAAATATCTTTGAACTATCCCTTTAAAGGATTAGTTCACTTTAAAAAAAAACTGTTGCTGATAATTTACTCACCCCCGTGTCATCCAAGATGTCCATGTCTTTCTTTCTTCAGTCGTAAAGAAATTCCTGGATTGTTCTCCATATAATGGACTTCAATGGGAACCAAATTGTTCAAGGTCCAAAAGACAGTTTCAGTGCAGCTTCAAAGGGCTTTAAACGACACCAGACGATGAATAAATGGTCTTATCTAGTGAAACGATTGCTCATTTCAAAAATAAATGAAAAAGTTTTAAGTTTCATAAGCACAAATGCTCACCTTGCTCTGTTCTGTGATGCACGTTCGGGACTGTCCTGTTCAAACTCGTTCATTAAAATGAACAAATCATTTTTTCGAGTCATTTCATTCATTTCGTTTGTTGAATTAACCAAATGACTCAAAAAAGATTCGTCACAGAACAGTAAGGGGAGCATTTGTGCTTATAAAACTTAAACTTTTATTTATTTTTGAAATGACCGCTCGTTTCACTAGATAAGACCCTTATTCATCGTCTGGTGTCGTTTAAAGCCCTCTGAAACTCTCATTTGGACCTTGAACCATTTGGTTCCCAATGAAGTCCATTATATGGAGAAAATCCTGGAATGTTTTCATCAAAAACCTTAATTTCTTTTCGACTGAAGAAAGAAAGACATGGACATCTTGGATGACATGGGGGTGAGTCAATTATCAGCAAAAGTTTTTTTTTTAAAGTGAACTAATCCTTTAATGCAAACAGACATTTCCAGCAGTTATAGTCACTCACTCACTCAATTATACCAATTGTTTGTGGATCATCACATTGATGTATAATGTTTTAATAATCTGTCGAAGTTGAGATCCCTTTTCCTACTAGAAAAAGCAAAAACACAGGTTTTTCTAGAGCCAAATAGTCTGTGTGCTGCTGTATCATGAGTGTAGTTGTGATCGATGAGGAGGCTTGTTTCACTCAGTATCATGTGAAATCCTAACTCTGTCAACGCAATAATATCGCACTTCCAGGCAGTGCAGAGTTCTCGCCATCTGGGAAGCAACACATCCCAGAAAGTGATGATGTCAGCTGGGATAATTATATTGCCTGGTGCCTGAGAACCTGGAGCCACAACTCTGGTCTTCCAGAAAGTTGTGTACACATAATCACTGTATAACAGACATTGGTCTTATTAAAAAAGTTTGTGATATTCCAGGAGTAACAATTGAAGTAACAAACCCTCTGTTACGTATTGTATAAATTTGAGTTTTAAGCCTGTATGATAACATGCATTTATTAGCATATTAATGTAATTACAACTAGTTCTTATGATGTCACATTGAACATTAAAAAGGATTATGTTGGTTACACTTTATTTTAGGGTGCATTAGTATTGACATTGTAACATGTACTTTCTAAATAGGGTTAAGATTAGGGTTTGGTTTGGGGTTAGTTGCATGTAATTGTGCATCATTTATAGTTATTAATATAGTAACTGCATATAACATGTAACAATGACACTAAAATAAAGAGTTACCATTATTTTAATGGCTTTTCTTTCATAATACTACATTTACCTGAACTTTTAGCATTTTCTGAGGTTAATTTAACATTGTACTTTGGTTAAACGCATAATTGTTACATCAAACAATAGTTGGTGGACCCATGCAGTAATGTTGAAAAAACCCTGCTTTAAAATTATGTTTATTCAGAAGTCATGAGCAAATATGCTCAATATATCTGTAGTTCAAATTAAAATATATGCATTAACTCTTTCCCATCCAGTGCTTTTGGTGGTGGTGGTGTTGTTTTTAAAGTTGCCAGCCACCACCAGCCTTTTTGATCAATTTCACAAAACTTTCGTAGCCTCCAGAATAATTTGTTATATGAATATCTGAACATATAATATATTAATTTTAACATTAATTCTACCTTCATGCATTCTTTTTTTCAAAAGGCTTCACTTGAATGTCGGTAAGTTTAATTTAAAAAAGAGCAACATTTTTAACCAAACACTGAGAAAATCACTTTTTTTTTCCATCAACAAACCCAAAGCTACACAGTCCTGTACCACTTCATGGGTTCCACATTTTATTCGGTTACGTTAAGCAGAGAGATTTCAACCTCGTAATCACAGTTTTTAAGCAAGGAATTTTCGAAGAGCCCCTACTTATACCACATAGAGCTTGTAATTGACCACTGCAGATTCATTTAGCCATTAGAAATACATAATTCCCAGTTTGAGGATGAGAACAGCCTCAAATAAGCAAATCAGCATATTAGAATGATTTCTGAAGGATCATGTGACTGAAGACTGGAGTAATGATGCTGAAAATTCAGCTTTGCCATCACAGGAACAAATAACATCCAGGTGTATAAAGAAAATTAAGATGAACGGGTGTGTGTCTGCACAGTTTGTAGTATTCATGTCCGAATGGCATAATAAGTGTTTGTGTTTGTGTAGCTGGGAGGTCTTGCGTTTCCTCCTGTCAAACCTGCGCTGGTGGATGGAGGAGTACAGATTTGATGGATTCCGGTTCGATGGAGTCACATCTATGCTCTACCATCATCATGGGATCGGTACGTCCATGGAAAACTAAGCACTTGATGTACTTTGCTTACGATTACCATACACAATAACCTTCTTCTCCCCCTGTAAATGTCACAAGCTCTTATTGTAGAACGGTTCGAAAAGCTTGAGAGTTTTCTTGGAATAGCAATCGTTCCAAAGGCATTTTCAATACACTGTGAGCACGTTGCGTAAAGTCTCATAAATGAACTAAATTAAGAAGGAAAAGCTTCTTTCAAACAATAAAATAATTACACAAATGGTGGCAAAGTGGCAAAAGTGACCCCGACATTTTTCTTTCTTTTCTTTTAAATGTTGTACTGCTAATGAATATGGGTAGGTTTGCACTCACTTTGACTAATTCCTACTTGGTTTTAATGAAAGATGACGTTAGACTCGCTTTAAAAACAGTATCGTAGCAAGATGGTTTCGTCATAGATCTTTTTCAAATAAATGGTAATTATGGTATCTCTGATTTTCATATTCCTTGATGCTCAGGAACAGGATTTTCTGGGGATTATGCTGAATACTTTGGACTACAAGTAGATGAGGACTCTCTTGTGTACCTCATGTTGGCGAACCATATTTTGCACACTCTCAATAAAGACTGCATCACTATTGCAGAGGTAAGCCATATGTTTTCTTCTGGAATAGACTGAACATAGAAGCTGAGCATGAAGAGTATTTATGAAATGTTAGCAATGCTCCTGTTCTTATTCTGATGCTTTGAAATGACCGTAATACTACAGTAAGTTTCCATAAGCCATGGATTATATTTAAAGCTGCAAAAATATGACTGTTTTCAAACAGGTTTCCACCTAGACAATCCCCATACAACTTGTGAGCTCTATTTAAAATTCTTATGTCTGCGATAGCTTTTCCTGATAAAGCAAGACCAGCATGAAAAATATGAATTATGGGTAATATAATATTGAATTACCATTTATTTATGAAATAACTAAAATTGTCTTTGATGGATTCGATTGAACATTTCAAAAGAACAGCATTTATTTGAAATATTTTGTAATAATATTAATGTTTGATCAATTGAATCCTTGCTAAATAAAAGTTTTAATTTCTTGAAAAAAAAACCTTATTGACCCCAAACTTTGGAATAGTAGTCCATGTGTATATAAATGATTTATTTGTATTTAAAAATTGTATTAAAAGCATAACGTAGAGATACTACAACATATCGTCGCTAGCAGGTGGAAATTTTTAAAACACTATTTTTAAAAACCAATATTGTGGCTTTATATTTGTGAAGAAACTTGCATGTATCATTATATGTTTACCAGTTTACCAAAATCAAGCTCGAATGGAGTTACAAGGTTTCAACCTGCACATTTTTCGAATTTCAAACATATGTGTTAAGTAAACGTGCATTACTTTACATTATTTACTGCAGCTACGTGGTCATTTGGTCAAAATGTTATTAAAGATAAAGTGCTATGCACAAGCTATTTATGAACAAGCTATTAACAAATGCAAAACTCAAATACTTAAAACATTCGCCTTCATATATAGTGTTTCTTGACTTATTCAAAGAAACAGTTCTTTATTTACCCTAGCCTTGCAAACAAGCAGAGATAATCCAAATTGCGTGCAACACTTCATTCACAATAGAGGTCAATGAAGGTGCCGTTTGACCGACAGTTTAAGGATCCAGTGTTAAGTTAATGTTGATGTTCAGTCACAAGCTATTTTCAATACTTTTCATTGGTTAAATACTGTATTTGCAAATCCCAAAGACAGACAAAAATGGTGACCAATAATGATTTTTATTTTTATTTTAAGTTAACAAAATGACAAAACATATATATAAAGTTCTCATCCGACTGTGACAATGTACTTATAAAAAGTAGTAGTTCAAAGTGGCCATATTCGAAATATTTATGTAATACACGTATTCAATTTTAGAACATCAAAGCACTGTCAGCAACTCTTTCACAATGTGCTAGTTTAAATATGCAAAAGAATAAATGAGATCTGAAGTGAATAACTATTTAAATTGCCGTAGTTGAAAGGTGTCTCTCTTGCTGTACTGGTTACTAAATATGCGGCGGAATCATCCGAAATGACCACAATACCTTTAGTCACGGCTCGGTAACCTTAATCTTGTCAACAGCGACACTGTATCCCAACTCCACAAAGACAGAATTAACCTTCAGAGCCAACGGGACACAGTGCATTAAATTAGCACTCAGTGGCTCTGTCTAAAGCCATGATTAATGATACCACTTACTTTTTACTTACTTTGTTCTGTGTTTTGTAATTAGTGGACAGTGCCCACCAGAGATATCATCTGATTCTCTTTTATGAGCTCCATTGATAGAGCTGGACTGTGAATACTAAAGTTTGCTTACATTGCAGGAAACAATTAAATAGCATAAAAACAGACTACAAATCTAACTAAAACTAGGACCACAGTGCTGAAAGCTACTTTTTGTATTCAGCGTGTAATTCCATTTTGCACTGCACTGCATATTATGTGATACCCTGCAGAAAAGAGTAGGATGGCTGGAGACCACTGCTAATCTAGCCAACAAAATTACTAGGTAAAATTGATGAGTTTTTTTTTTTTGATTTTGTCTGCAATAACAGATTTGTCTGGTCATGTGATCCCAACATGTACGCCCCCGTGAGGCGACCCACTCCATGTGTATAAATAAATTAACTTTTATTATGCTAGATATGACTGGAGTCATCATTAAATTTTACATTACAAAACATATTTTTCAAATACAAAGTATAAAATAATTTAAGGATATTTTTAAGTTCCACTCCATGCATATAAACATTTACTTTTAATAGACCAGATATGACTGGAGTCATAATTAAATTTCCATTTTATATATATATATATATATATGCTGAAAAAAATATATATATATTTCTTTCAAGTGCTATATTTGAATATATATATATATATATATAAAATATATGTTTCTTTTTAAATTTAAGTTCCATTCCATGTATATACATAAATTTGCTTTCATCATTATATTAGTTCTTATTATTATGTTAATCATATTTTTGAAACACATTACTCATTTTGTATGTACAAAATATTAATCATATTTTTCATACATTATTATTTGACTAAAATGTTTTATGGATGCTTTTAAGTTCCACTCCATATATATATATATATATATATATATATATATATATATATATATCTTATTATTATGTTAATCATATTTTTGAAACACATTACTCATTTTGTATGTACAAAATATTAATCATATTTTTCATACATTATTATTTGACTAAAATGTTTTATGGATGCTTTTAAGTTCCACTCCATATATATATATAAATTAACTTTTAGTCATCATTAAAGTTTGATTGTCATTATATTAAAAATATGTTTTTAAATACTTACTTTTGAATACATTCATTTTTTATTTAAAAAAATACCATGTGCATATTTTAAATGTCATATGGCTTCTAAAGACACATACCCAGTCCACACTTTATTTTTGGCTGAGTTATTCCATCAACAATATTTCTAACCTCTCCATAATTGTTGTGTTTCGGTATGAAGGATGTGTCCGGTATGCCCGCCATTTGCCGACCAGTCAAAGAAGGAGGTCTTGGTTTTGACTATCGCCTGTCCATGGCCATTCCAGACAAATGGATTCAGGTGAGTGTAACATTAATGGATGAATAACATGCAATTAGCTCACTTACATTCAACATCATGAACCAAACTACTGTTCAGTCCTGCTGTAAGTGTAACCAAAGACTTCATACAAAGACGGTGCACATATATTGCTATGAATGGGAGAAAATGCATTGTGAAATATGGCGAAATAAGTCCCGCCTTCTAAATAAAAGAGCCAATCGCCAATTGGTAAATTCATTGCGTCACTACAACTGCCGTTAGAAGCTCCGGTTGTTATACAGCAAATGTGCATTGAATGTTTTTGGCTGCCTGTGCAGTTTTGTTTTGTTTTGTCATGATTTGAGCGTTAAAGGAGTTTTATGAAAGAAATGTGTTTCAAATAATCAGAAAATGGCCCTGATATGTCACTAGACATTAAGAAATCATGTTCATTTCAAATACTTATATCACTGACAACAGTAGTCCAGCCAGGATATTGACATTTAAAAACTGAAGTTGCAGCACTCAACTGATGTTGATGTTGTCATGTTGTGTTTTGGTCTGATGGTCCGCCCTCCACCGATCTACCAATCACGGAGTCAGTAGTGTTGCAGCATTCAGGTTGCCAGCTCTGCATAATTTTGGATCCTGCAGCCTATCTGGCAACCTCGAGTCAGGGGGGAGGGGATACACCGCTCTACAGTAATTTGAAAGTGATTGCAGTACCACTTTTGGCCACAATCTTGCATACGGCTCCTTTAAGAAAGTAAATTTATGAGAATTTAATCGATGACATTTAATCATAAGCTTGGTAAACAGCTTTGGAGAATTTGATGTTTCCTCTTTCAGAGAGATAGGAGCTGTACTTGTGTGACTGAAACAGCTGCCCAATGGGGCGTTTCAAAGATGGCCGCCAAGTGAAATGACTTGCCTTAAAGGAACTTTGGTGTAACTGACAACTTACCTCATTTTACCCACATTTCAATATATTCCCTCCGGATAGTGCCAGTTTGTTTGTGCCATATCGTGCTAAATATCTCATTCATCATTCATCACGCACTTGCCCTGCTTGTAATTTGGAAGCAAGACGTGTTTCTATCTTTTTCTCTGGGGAATTAGATTTAAAGATAGTTTATCTAGAACCAGCTCCAAATCTAGACTGACAAGCGGTGGATCAGATAAATAGGGCGTATTCAAATTTTTCTTGGCAGATATTTATAAATTGTCATATACTTGGAAACTGGGATGCGGTTTATACTCGCGGTCATGTTTTTGTCTTTTTTTGTGAGTGTGCATAATTAAAAGTATAATTATGGGCAATTCTTCAATCATTTTTCTTAATTAGGGTTTCTTCTGTGAGTTGATCTAAAGCATTCCTTTGTTCTGTGCTGTTTCTGTGGATATGCATATTAATGAAGGTCTTCTCGTTATGGATAAATATATATGTAGAGAGAGAGATTTTTGGATTCTTTTCTCTTCTTGGCAATAGCACGAGGCAAAGCACATCTATCAGACTGATCAGAGAGCCACAGCTCTCAAACTATCAGTTTGAACCCTTTATTTCAGCCGTTTGTTATATCTTTTCACTGCTCTGACCCATTGGTGGGTTTATGTTTTTTATGAAAATACATTTTAAATTCTGTATCATCAGTTTGGTTCATTCCATTTGTGTCTTTGTTAAACAGAATATTTGCGAGTCTTCAAAATCATCATGACCACTTGAAATTCCCAATGTCATATTTTTGGTGTTTTGCTTTAAAACCAATCTGCTTTGGCTCATAATGGTTTGAAAAGGAATGTTACACAAAAATAATAGATCGGTGCTTAAATGATTCAACTCTTTGTTTACACTGCAAAATCTTAGTACCCATTGTAAAGCTGAAACCTTAAAGGGATAGTTCACCCAAAAATGAAAATTCTCCCATTAATTACTCACCCTCTTGTCTTTCCAAACCCGTAAGACTTTCCTTGGTGATCTTTTTGGTGAAATTAGAGGGATTTCTGTCCCTCCATTGACAGTCTGTGCAACCTCCTCTTTGACGCTTCAAAAAGTTCTTAAAGAGATTGTAAAACTAATCCATATGAATTGAGTGGTTTAGTCCACATTTTCTGAAAGAGAACTGATCTCTATATGATGAACAGATTAAATGTAGGCTTTTATTCACACAGAAACATTCAACTCACATATCAGATATGGTAAATGGAAACTCAAGCATGTTCGCTTGACGTGCAAGAACTAATGTAGGGAAGTGTATTGCATTCACTTGAAGAAAACAATATACTCCTTTTTTTCTGAATTAATGAGCTAATTATCTCAGAATTACGAGAGAATTTTTCACAGAAAAAAGTTTTTGCTGTGTTTTTCTGAATTAATGACTAAAAAAATACGAGTAACTCATTAATTCATAAAAACAGAGTGAAAAAAAAGTTTTTTTTTAAAAAATATATCCTATAATTCTAAAATAATTAACTCGTTAATTCAGAAAAACAGCAAAAAAACATTTTTCCATGAACAATTATCTCATAATTCTGAGATATTAACTAATTTTGTTTCCTCAAGTGAGTGCAACACGCTTCCATATTAATGAGGTTCATTCTCTTCGTTCATTGTCTGGGTTTTTTTTGCGCGTCAAGCAGGATCGGTTGAGCTTCTGTTTGTTTTCTGATTAATTTTTATATGTGAATAAAAGCCTAAATTCAATCTGTTCATCATATAAAGCAAACCTCTTCAGAAAATCTGTACTAAACCGCTTCATTCATATGGATTAGTTTTAAAATCTCTTTATTAACTTTTTGAAGCAAACTGGTGCTGTCTGCGTAGCTGTCTCTGGAGGGACAGAAAGCTCTCAAATTTCATCAAAATCTTCATTTATGTTCAGAAGATGAATGAAAGTCGGTTCTGGAATGGCATGAGGGTGAGTGATTGATGACTGAATTTAAATTTAACCCAATAATTAAATGTACATGAATCAGAAAATTCGAACAAACGGGTCGGTTAAAACATTTAAGATATTGACGTATGAATACAATAAACTCTTGAGGGCTATTTAATAACATTATATAATCTTTATGCTGAAAGTTAAGAAAACAATGTTTTCATTGAATTCTTACAAGGGTCTTGCATGAGTCTTTTTCCTCTAATATTTTATGACTCTCCTGTCCGCATTCTTGTTTATTTTGACAGGCACAGTAAAAGCAAAAAGTATGTGCCCCGTGTACTGCAGGGGTGACTGTTTGTGCTGAGCGCACAGCCTCCATGGAGAATCGGCATGCATTGCTAAACAAGGCTACTCAGAAAACAAGGCTTTTTACCAGACCAGCAGCAACGGGCTGTCTGGACGCGTTTGCCCCAGATGACCCTCTGCGGCTCCGCTCCAGCAGGCCGATGCACTCTCCATGCTCTAAGGTGTCCACTCCACTGACTCAGGATCAGTGTTTAGAATGGCATAAAGACTGCCGCTCTTTAACTTTTTGCTTTTTTTCAAACGACATTGCCCAGCATATGCAGTATTTATTCGAGGCTTTTTTCATCAGACACCGCTTTCGATTTCATTTTGTGTTGGGGTACAGATGAGACTGCACTTTGAGGGCACTCAGATGACTTGGATTTTGTGTGAAGGAAGAAGGAGAGAGTGTGTTACTTACATATACCCAATATATTTTTGACAAGGGAGTACCCTGCTCTGTCAAAAATAACAGCAAACCTATGGGATCAATATCCCATCAAAAGTATTGTGGTCACGGATCAAAAAATAATGTAAAAATATATTGCACAAACTGGAAAACAAGGAAAGCAAAATTATTTAAGCTAACAACAGTGTTGGGAAAGTTCACTTTCTACATGAACTAGTTCAAAGTTCAGTTCACACATTTTAAAATGAATTAGTTCAGTTCATAGTTCATACTTCAAAAAATCAACTAGTTCATTATAGTTCTTTTTTCCCATATGTTGCAAGCTTCTTCTTAATATTATTATTTCCACAGCCCATACACAACCACAGACAACAATTATTTTATCGACGGGCAGTTTGCAAAGAAATGTACGATTTTTCCCATCCTCGCCCTTTTAAATGATCATACGACGCCTCCTCGCTTGCTGCTTTGTTGACGGCGGCCGCGGTGCGACACTGGTGGCTGGTGTTGCCAGATTGGGTGTTTTTTTCGCTACATATTAAGGCCTGTTTACGTGTGTTTTAGCCGGGTTTTCGCCTGGAAGGCTCTATAGAAATCTTGTACGCATATAGAGTTCACAGTAACGTTCATCAGGCAGTAATACATTACGTTCAGTTCACATTTGCCCAAAAGGTCATGAACTATCGTTCATTGAACGCGTTCAGGCACAACACTGGCTAACAACATGGTCACAGATCGAAATATAATAAGCGTGAATAAAAAAAATAACAAGCATAAATAAAAACTTTAAACACATTAAAATTATATTGCACAAAAGTTAAACTTATGTTCACGTTTCCTTAAAACTGATGGTTTCCTTTTATTACTCTGCACTTTGTGCTTTGACACACATTCTACTCTTTTGTACTCTTGTGCTTTTTTTCTCTTCACTCTTCTTTCCACGTTCTGCGCTTACTTTTCCAAATGTTCGGGTTTCGAATTTCATGTAAATTAGGGCGGGCTTAAGCATCACCATTGGTCCACTAGTTCTAGATTGACAGCTCCTCCTCTAGCCAATCAATCGAAGAGGGGAGTTGACGTCAGTCTGGTGAGAAATGATTTGCGTAATCATGAACGCATTGACGTTGTTTTTGGGGAATATTCCCTTCGAAAACATAACTCAGCCACTGCGTCTTCAGCGGTTTGCATTTAGGGACATCAACATGACTGTGTTCGGTATTACACCCAAGAACAGAATGGCGGACTATGATGACAGCTCGCTCAGGGTGGGGATGTGTTGAAACACTGCTGTCAATCAACAATCGTGGGAGGGGCGTCCAATTAGTGACGTCATGCGGTCGAACGGCTCGATTTGAGACGAGAAAACATTTAAGGAGATTTAAAAAAAAACATTGCGTCCATTTTTA